CATGGCATCAAGTGTCTCGGCGTACATGATGTTGAGGCCGCTGCCTCCATCCATCAACACCTTGGTGAGGCACTTTGTGCCGATGATCGGGTCGACCATGAGCGGATACCCCCCCAACTACGAGATGCTATCCGGGTGGTCGGATCGGTCGAAGGTGATGGCGGACTTCAACCACTGGAGGAAAGATGGTGTGGCTAGCTTAGTCGCATAGACCTCACGGCATGAGATCTTTTGGCGGCGTTTGGAGTCGTAGGCTGCCATCCCACCGAAGATCATGAGGCAGCCGTCTAGGGTCGAAAAGCCACCATCCTTCCCCTTGGGGTCGTCTACCACCAGCTCAGGCTTCTTTCTTTGGTTCCCCTTGTTGGAGCCGCCAGACAGGAACCGCTTCATGAGGGCGCAATCCTTGTACAAATGCTTGACGGGGAAGGTGTGGTTTGGGCATGGCCCCTCGAGCAGCTTCTTGAAGTGGTCGGGAGCATTCTCGATGGGCGCCCGGCCATCTTTCCGCTCGGCAGCGGCCACGAGTGAGCCTCCGTGCTGCTGCTTGTTCTTCTTCTTGTTCGGACAGTTAGAGGGGCCCTCGTCGATGTCCTCGTCTCGCCACGCTTTGCCTTTAGAGTGATAAAAAATCGCTCCGACCGCCTCCTCGCCTGAGGCGTGGCTGGTCATGATGTTGAGGAGCTCCTTGGTGGTTCAAGGGCCCTTATGAGCTTGTGGACTAGGGACTCACGGGTGGTCCCGGATAGGAAGGCTCCGAAGATGTCGATGTCGGTGACATCAAGCAACTCATTGCATTGTCTGGAGAAGCATCGGATGTACTTGCGGAGAGTCTCTCTAGACTTCTATCAACATTTTTTTTAGATCCTAGGGGTTCCTAGGGCACATATAGGTGCCCTAGAAGTTTCCCACAAAGATCTCCTTCAAGTCCACCCAACTTTGAATCTGGTTGGGCGGAAGGTGCTCCAGCCATGTTCACGACGAATCTGCCAGGAACAAGGGGAGGTTGCGGATAATGAAGTAATCACTATCCGCATCGCCGGCTTGACAAGCAAGTCGATAATCCTCGAGCCACAAGTTGGGGTTCGTTTTCCTAGAGTACTTCAGGACGTTGGTCGACGGTCCATACCACGGCGGGAAAGCCACGTTGAGGATGTGCCAGTTGAAAGCCTAGGGCCCCGATAGGTCAGGGCTCAGGCTCCGGTCTTCGCCATTATTGTAGCGTCCGCCACGACAAGGATGGTAGCCATGGTCGGCCTCCTCTCTCTTGTCACCCCGTCCACGCTTGCGAGCGTCTAGGGTGTTGCGTGTGTCACGGTTGGGGCCAAGACGCTCATGCACCGGGACCATGGCAAGTCCCCCGCCGCCATGTGGCACCTGGTGGACGGATACATCCCGGCCATATCATCCCAAAGACACGCGCTGACTGGCATCGACCTCGCGTCGCCGAGACAGCGAGCATCCCGTCTGTTGCACCGCTGCGTGCTCAAGTAGCGTGCGGATCTCGCGGTGGGCCTGATGGTCTTCGGGTGTCGCGGGCTCTAGAAGCCTTCAGACTAGGGCCACCATGGCAGCAATGTACTATCTTGCCCGGTCCAAGTACGTGAGACCTCCGTCGTCCTCGATGATCCTTCGGTTTATGTCACGGCCACCGTCTCCGCGGCACTCGATCTCGCGCTCGAGCTCCACACGCTCCTGCTCTAGCTGGAGTCGTGCACCCTCGATCTCCTTGTGCCACGCCCTTAGCTGCTCTACTCGTAGGCAAGGCGGGCCCTCTGCATCTCCCTTGACATCATCGTCAAGGTCATTTGCAGGAGTAGCCCCTTCATTGTGGATGCTTTTGACGCACCCCTCGGGGGTGTCTGCCATAAAGCATTCTCACGAGGGTGATGGCTCCCCGTACTAGAGTCAGAGTTGGAGATCGACTCTGAATCTTCCGCGAGAAGGTCGTGGAAAAACTCCACGACGTAATCGGCCATTCCCATGAATTTGTCATCCGTGGGAGGCGGGTGCATGCGTTGTATCGCGAGGTGACCAACGGTCCTCGCGGCATTGCGCAGACCGAACGAGAACGTTGTCGAGGCGTCCCGGGTGAGATATTTCGGGAAGAGCGGCTCTCCTCCGGCAAGCTGCGTCATGACATTGGTGAAGGAGAAGGTAAGGCAACGCACATCCTCCTAGGATGGTCGAGGTCCTAGGAAGGCTTCAAGCTGGCACTCCAGCCTCCCGTAGTTGAAGCCGATGAGCTAGTCGCTCCTGGGGACATGGGCCTCCAGTGCGCGCAGCTGCAGCTCCTCAAGGCCGACGGAATGAAGAGGTCAGGTGGGGATGGGAGCCCGCACCAGCTCTTTCTTCGCCGTGACGATGAAGTCTAGGCTCCCGAAGCGAACGTGCACGCCCGGGACCTAGCTAACGCTGGGGCTAGCCATCCATGGCCTGTTGTGGACGATGAGATGCGCAAAAGGCCCCTACCTAGCGCGCCAACTGTCGGTGTTTTGAGTCACCGGCTAGTAAATTTCTAGTTTTCGCGTCTGACCCGGATGGCTGTGCTCGGAGCACACAAGGATTTATACTGATTCGGGCGGAATGCTTCCACGTCCAGTTTGCTGCTGTTCGTGTTACCGGCACTTGGTTTATGGTAGGGGTTACAAACATGCGTGAGAGGGAAAAGGTCCCAAATCTCTGATAAAAAGGTCGAGTGGGATTGAGTCCTGCTCTACTGTCGGGCACCTAAACCTTCAGCCGCTCAGACGTGTTAGAGGTGTAGGAATGCAGACCCCCCCCCCTCCATGGGGCGCCCTGCTTCCCCTTTTATAGATGAAGGGGAAGACGCAGGTTACATCAGAGAGAGACGGAGAGAAGAAGGCTTCCGGGATTGAGGCGTCCTCCATCTCCTTTACGCGGGTCCCGCCTGCCCTGTAGATGATGACGGGGACGGCTCCATGTCGCGGCCCTGTTTGTCACTGGCGCCGTACGCGGGCGTCGCCAACTAGTCATGGCGCTCCATTCCATCCTAGCGGACGGTATGGCAAGCTGACGCCTCCGCTGGAGGCCGTAAGGGAAGTAGGTAGCACAGCGCAGGCACGCCCGGTGCTGTTGGTCACGTGCGTCCTCAGACGTGGCCCGTCGTGGCCGCGGGTCACGTCAAGACACGTGACCCTAGACTCGTACTCTTAGACCCGTAGTGGTTGGGGGTGGTACGGACCTCTGTCGGGCGAGGCGGAATCCCCGTTCGAAGGGTCGGGCGAGGCGAAGCCCGCGCCCTCGGGAGCGGGCGAGACGGAGCTTGCGCTCTCGGGATCGGGCGAGGCGGAGCCCGCACCCTCGGGGTCGGACATGACGGGGCTCTCGTCCGAGGGGTCGAACAAGACGGAGCTTGTGTCCTTGGGGTCGGGCGAGAAGGAGCCCGTGTCCTCGGGGCCGGACGAGACAAAGATACGCTATTGACCATACGAGGGAGTTAGCGTTCGTGGCCATTAGCTTCTTTCTTCTGGGTATCCCTGATACTGATACCCGACTTATGGCTCTTCTAGCTTTGCTACAGTAGTTGTACAATGGCGCTATAATAGAGGAGTCGGAGCACAAGACTTGTATGGCAGGGCTTCTATGAAGGAGTCATATCACTTGAGGAGTTACTTTTTGTGACTACCGCTTCTAATCTTAAAACAGTTCCGACTCCTCTATTGTTCATCAGAAAACGGCTCCTCCTAAAGTGTTTAATATGGCTCCTGTAGTTTTTTTCGCTGAAGCTGCTTGCCACAGCTGGAATCGTGACTAACAGGACTTTAATCAATCTAGTGTTTAATATGGCTCCTGTATTTTTTTCGCTGAAGCTGTTTGCCACAGCTGGAATCGTGACTAACAGGACTTTAACCAATCTAGTTAATAAGATGCTCTAGCGTTTTTTTTTTTTTTTTTTTTTTTTTGCTTTTTGACTCTTCCGTGTGGTGTAACCTACTAGTACTCCTAGCAAGGAGACACGTTTGGAGAGATACAGTATATGACAAGCGTGTCCTACCACCGGACGGCCGGAGAGATAGCTACTAGCCGTGACGCCAAAAGCCAAGGCACAGGTGGTACTGTGGTAGGCACGGGCACATTGGCAGCGCAACCCCTTCGGTCTTCCTCCCTACCGAGAAAAACACCCCAAAACAGTATATTCGGAGGAGAGTAAAAACAGGATGCCTACAGTGGAGTACCAAAGGCTTCAAGAGATCAGACCGCCAGACGCAGAGGCGGCGTCCGGCGTACATACAGGAGCAGCAACACAGTGTAGAGCGGATACGGTGACCTTTCAATTTCAGCACCAGCATCCTCTCGCTCTCCCACAAGCTGAAGCAACAGCGGGAAGCAACAGGCAACAACGGGGAGCAGGGATGAGGTGACGCGCGGACCAATGGCGCGGAGGGTAGGGGGCCACTCTCCCCTGACCACCTCGTGGCAGACACCTGGCTCTATCGGCCTTGGGGATCGGAGCGGCACCGTAGCAGACAGTCAGGCAGGCACCACCGTGACCTTTGCCATAAAAAGCTACTGCTCCTTCGTACGACGCTGTCCTACACCCTCATCCTATACTGAGCGCTTGCTGCCTGGCTAGGCTTCTGTTCATGCTGCCGCTGCGCCAACGCGGCCGTCCTGATCCATCCTCACTCTCTCTTCTCTCTCGTCGCCATTGGCTAGTTTATGCGTCTGTTCCATAAATACGAGTAGTAGGCAGTTGCTCACTGGTCCTTTGCGCAAGATACTCCTACCAGTCTCTGGACTGCTCCCGAAGCGCGCCGCAGATCTACTCCAACACCTGTAAGGATTGCTGTCGCCGTGGCTTTTCCGGCAGCTAGCTAGGGTTCTTCTCCCTCGCTCCGCTTGCTTTTCGTCCTTCCTCTTCTTTTCTTTGCTTGGTCAAATTACCACTTCATCTCTTCCCGTGCTCTCTCGTCTTCTTGTGATTGTTGGCAGCTGCAGCGGCGCCGCCGCCGGTGGAGGAGAGCAAGAGAGGCACGATGGCCGGGAAGCGGGAGCGGATAGCGATACGGAGGATCGACAACCTGGCGGCGAGGCAGGTGACCTTCTCCAAGAGGCGGCGGGGGCTGTTTAAGAAGGCCGAGGAGCTCTCCATCCTCTGCGACGCCGAGGTCGGCCTCGTCGTCTTCTCCGCCACCGGCAAACTCTTCCACTTCGCAAGCTCCAGGTACCTATGTATCTATGGATATATATAGACCTTGCGCCGTGCCACGGCTGCCATCCGGCCGGTCATCTTCCTCCTGCGATTGTTCTTGGTTTATTGATCGATGCGTTTGGGACTCCGCTAGCTCTTGGATTTTAATTTCGTTCTTCCATCTCGTCTGGGGCTTAGACCTACATCTTGGTACTGGATGCCCTAATGTTCTTCTTTAATTGGGCGTCTTAATTGATTGATCGGTTAATTCCGCAATTAGAAACCTGATTTCTCTATTTCTTGAGATCGGGGATTCTTGTCTCCCTGTCTCCAACAACTTGGGTATGCGGCTGATCCGCTGTGCCTTTTCTGGAACCAAGCTTGTCTACGACATGTCACATGTGGATTGATATTTGATGGTCGATATTTCAATGTATGATTAAGCAACTCCTGCCGGTCGTTCTGTTGATCAAAGGAGAAAGTTCTTGCTTGTTCGCCAATAAGTTCCTTTCCCCATTGTCAACAATGACTAAGATTGTTTGACTGTCGTTTCGATATCGATTATGTGTCTTTGGGGTGTCATGTTTTACCCCCATTTTCCAGAGATTCTCGTATGCTTGCTTCGTGGTGCTCGCCTGTTCTAAGCTGGGATTGGGGAAAAAAAACATTGTCCCTGGATTTATCCTGTCGCTGCCTAACAGATTCAGATTTTATTAATATTAATTAGTGTTATTCTTTTTTCTATCCGCATAATGATATACTTCAAGGTTAGTGGTAAATTCACCTGATTAATTGCTTTCAAGGTAATGGTACTTTCAAGTAATTAGGCAATACTTTCAGTAACCCACCCCAAAAAAGGGCATGTTGATCAGTCAGTGTGATTTCATCATATCTAATTTCTTATCAAGGTTTCATCTATTGATGTGAATTGAGATAGAATATACGATATGCTTTCAACATTTCAATGACCTTTTTTCACTGCTCTTCTCCTACTCTTGCCGTCCCTAAAGAATGCACTCTTATTTTTTTAGGAGTCAAACTTTTTAAGTTTGAGCATATATATAAAAATATACTAATATATATGATGTGTAATAAGTACCAGATAATAATAGATCATATATTGTTATAATATAACAAATATATTTAGAGATATATTTTTATAAATCTAGTTAAAAATAAAAAATGACCCTAAAAAGTGTGTATTTTCTTTTAACGGAGGGAGTATATAATACTAAAAGAACTTGGAATGTGTGGAAGAGAGTAGACAGATGGAGGGGAGGGTTCTCTCTTTTGGCAGTGTGACCAGTAAAAAACAGATCCTCTTTGAGAAAAGGTAGATGTCACAAGCCTTCGTTCTGATCTGCAACTAAATTTTTTCTGCACCTTTTGTACAAGTTGCTTCGATTTCCATGTTTCTTCTATTGCTCTTGTTCGTCTACCACGTTTCCATTTCCATTTTTTAATGCACGTTTACATTTCTTTTGACTTCACCGTCGATGTGGATCGTGCAAATAACCCGGACATCCTACCTAGAAATGCTTTCTAGCTGGTCAGAGCTTTCTCCACATGTATCCCGGGCTTGCCAGAAAATGCCTCGGAATGTTCATGCGACTTACATGATTGATATCTTTTTCACCCTAAGAAAAAAAAGGGGAAAATGTGATACTTCATTTCGTACTTTACACCTAATCCGAGGTACCTGTCATTTTGTTTTAACTTCCGCTCCCTCAGTTTTGAAATATTAGAGATTTACTAAGTCCATAAAAAATAAGTATAATAATATTTACAATATCAAATGAGTTTCATTTGATATACTACTATAAAAACATTTTCATAATTTACCTCCTTGATGTCTTAAATATTAATACTTTTGTCTAGGTCAAATTTTAGATGATTTGACTTAGGACATATGGAAACCTCTTATGTTCTAGGACAGATGTAGTAGTTAAGGTTTATGTTGTCCATATTTTCCAATGAAATAGAGCTTAAATTGCATGCTGTTTATGTATCATAACATAAACGATTAATTGTGGGCTTCTGCTTACTCAAATTTAAAACTGTCTTTTTACGATGATGAGTTTGGGCACATGTAAGCTATCTTCAGTTGAGCTTTTCTCATCACTTAAGTCTCGATAACATATATGGTAGTAAAATGCTCTCAACTTTGGATAAAAATTCTTGTGGGTACTGCACCAGCTGAAATAGTTGGAGGAAGTAAATAAAATCAAACATTAGTTTAGTAGATTGTCCGGACATTGGCCGAACTTATTGATGGAAGTAATTTGGACCTTTTCTGGTTTCAAAATAAGCCATATTTTATCATAATGTTCATAACCCCATCATAATGTTCCAAAATAAGCCACCTTTTCTGGTTCATCTTGTTTTGGCATCTAGTTTGATATTTTATCATAATGTTCATAACCCCATTACCATTATAGACATCTTTATATAAGACATGTGCATTTCCTCTGTTGGTTCACGTAACACGAGTGGTGTGGGCCTTGCAAGTTCAAGTGCTACAAACCACATTTAGGTACGTTTACTTAATATATATAATATAAAATGGTGTCACTCAGTAGTGGTGGCCACCTAGCACTAGCTGCCTAAAAGGATCAATATACCCAAGAGGGGGGTAAATTGGGCTAATTCAAAATTCTATGCAATAATTAATTCCTACACTTAGCCCACTTCACCTCTTGTGCCTAGAATGTATTTCTATTGTTCTCACGCACAAAAGTTTTGCACGTTAGGTTCCAATCCTACTCTAGCATGGCAATTCTAGAAATGTAAAGACATGAAATGAATTGCTCAAATGTAAATGCTCAAAGTAAAGAGAGGGAAAAGAACGCGGCGATGTTTTCCCGGGGTATCGGAGAGTCGTCACTCCCCACTAGTCCTCGTTGGAGCACCCGTGCAAGGGTGTAGCTCCCCCTTGATCGGCGCAAGGATCAAGTGCTCTTTACGGGTTGATTATTTGACACTCCGTCGCGGTGAATCGCCCACAACCGCTCACAACTTGACTTGGGTCATCTACAAGCTCCGTCGGATGATCACCAAGCTCCCAATCACCAAGAGTAACAAGCACAAATTATCACTTGACCAAGACAAGTCTGATGAGAAGGGTGAATGCACACTTGCTACTCCCTATGTACTAATGAGGTCTTTAATCTTGGATTCTCAAATCTCAATCACCTCACTAGGCTCTTGCTTTCCCTTGCACTCCAAAGGTGTTTCTCAGCTAAACAAATGGGCAAGAGACCTCCCATGGACGAGTGGGGTAAGTATTTATACCCCCTTATTCAAAACATAACGTTTGGAGGCTGAGTCAGCATTCTGCGGGTTGATCGGACGCTCCGGTCAGTTATACCCGCCACTGTGTTAGAGAGAGCCGTTAAGCTCTGACCGGACTCTGACCAGCGTTCGGTCAGCACTGACCGGACGCGTTCGGTCAAGAAAACCCTCTCTGGAACCTCTCTGGAATGGACCGGATGCAGGTACCCCAGCGTCCAGTCATCACCTATCGGACGCGTCCGGTCAGGAAAAACTCTCTGGAACCTTACTGATGTTGACCGGACGCTGACACCCAGAGTCCGGTCACTTCACTGTTCATCGTCCGGTCAGTACCAGACTACTGCAGTTGATCAAATGAACTGACCGGACTCACCCACCAGCGTCCGGTCACAGTCAGACCAGCTTCCCGTCAGTCATTTGACCCTTTATTCACTTCCAACTCGAAATCCTATGTGAATGAAGTTGACTTCTATTGATCTTAGGGTTATTTCTGAGCTATCTAGTGCTAGGTTTGACAAGTGTGCACCACACCTAACCTACTAGACTCACCTAGGTCAAGCTACTAGTCCATAACCCCTTTTATAGTACGGCCAAAGGAAAAACAAAGTCCTAAACTACTCTAAGTGTCTCTCCAACACCAAACAACACTTAGAACTAGTCTGTCCTTAACCTTATCGTCCATCCTTTGAAAACCGAAACAATTTCCATCGACAGGGGCATGACAACCGTGATTGTCCAATCAATTTTCATTATCATGACCTAACTCAAATTGCCTCTGCAAAACACACGTTAGTCATAGTAATCTTGTGTCGTCGTTAATCACCGAAACCCAACTAGGGGCCTAGATGCTTTCACAGCCTTTGGTGCAATTTTTTGTTTCTAAGCTACCTGCAGCCTGGTTTTAGTTCAGTGTAGCTTGCAGCCGCTGCAACTGTGTAGCAACTTAAATTCGCTGTCAGGTCTGTAGCTAGAGCTTTGAAACGCTGCAGGTAGCGAAGAGGCTAGCTGTAAGGTTTTTTCACAACACATGGTTACAAAAAAAGTTCTGAACCAATGTATAAATAGTTTTTTTTACCAGTAACACAATCTCATATCATGCATTATATTGTGATAAACTTGATAAAAAAATAAGTAAATGACATGCGAGACAAAGGTGCTAAGAAATTGTGTCACACCACATAGCCAAACATTGCCTAAGAATTGTGATGATTGAAGTATAACATGGCAAGTGTTTGACAATGAATGTAGCATGTCCTTGACGCTAAAAATGTTGAGTAAAGGCAGTCCCAATCAAAAAAAATGTTTTTATATTTACGTTATATAGACTCTGTACATAGAAACTGTATTTCCAATATTCTACAAAATATTTTTTCAGCCAATCCACTATCTTTTCTCTGCTATCATCCACCTATCATATATATTTAATCTAGTTTTCCGTGTAGACTTTCTTGTATAAGAAACCATTTCCCTTCACTCACCTTGTTTTAATTCCAATACTACAACACCATTTTACTTACTTGGCATCCTAGCTAATCCTATAGAAACTATATTCTAGTCATCTCATTAGGACTGCCCTAATATTCAATTTATATTATATTATATTATATTACAGCAGTAAGTGTTGAAGTCAGCCTTTTTGGAGCCTTAACTATCACTATACCATGACGACTACTCAGATCTGAGTGTCATGAATTGATCTAAACCAGGGGTGGGGGGGTGGGGGATTAAATACTTGCTAAGGAAATACGACAGTTTAATTTTAGACATGGTGGCCAAGCATGTACTGTGTACTCGGTCTAAAAATCATATTTTTTTATGAATCAAGACAATTTTTAAAATTTAATTATACATTTATATAAAATAGTATCAACATTTATGTCCCTAAATATGTTTACTATAAAAATATATTCTATAATTAATTTATTAATACTTAGTTGATATATAAATATTGGTATATATTTTTATATAGATTTGATCAAATTTAAAATTGAGCTAATTGCATTTGTTACAACCGTTAACATTTGTTTTTTATATCCACAGAAATTCATGCACAGAGAAATTAGTTGTAGCATCCGGTTTTAAGAACAAAACCAGATACACACCATATGTGAGCCCAGGA